AGTAGATGCATCTGGCTGCCAACAATGGCAAGCACTCTCCCTGCACTGCACGAATGGTGTTTCTTCGGACAAGATGCTCACTCGAACCGCTCCCGTAAAACGAAGGAAGAGACTGTGATCGGTTTTTTTTTTTTTCGTGCTATCGATAGAAAAGACAAATCAAAATCGCAGAACAAACAATTTCATATAAACATATTATTATTATTATCGTTATTAATTAAAAATTAAAACATTGAAAAATAAATGTTATTAGTAAACGCGATATATCTGCAATTTTTAATCGCATTAGATTCGTTGCAGTTTATTTCGTCATCAGCGTACTAATTTTTCTTTTAGAAGAGAATCTTAAAATTCTTAGACGGACACAAGAGTAACATTATTCCGTTTACGGGCATTCGAGCCCTGGAGAATCGATCGTAAGAAACGCGAAATTGTAAATTCCCTAAGCTGCGTCCTTTGCGCTCCCGCGCTCCTAATTATAATATAATTTCCACGTTAATGGCGTACCTGCTCATAGCCGCCATCATAACCCGCCGGGGTTTGCGAGGCAAAGGAGGAAAATGGAGAAGGATGGATCGGGGCATGTATCCTCCGAGCGTAATACGGCGCCGAGTTTATAACCGAGTTAGCGAAATCGGCTGCTCCGCGCTTATTCCACAGGCGGGGAATAACGATGCTAACCGGCGAGACGAGGGGAGGGAGCGGGAAGGAGCGAGAGGTTCGGGACGTTTTGATTAAATTAGGGGATGATCGCGCAAAATTAGAGACATTAAATTCCATTCCTCGTTCGGTCCCGAGCGCGCGCGATTTTCCACGGTGTTTTCGGAGATTCGATACTGTTCATGGAAAAGAAAATAGAGATCTCTAAAGTCTGATACTGAAATTTCAAGTATCGAGATCGAGTTTCACGAAAATGGAAAAAGAATTTATGATGCTCGATATTACATGGACATAAAATGTCTAAAATTAGAATATTTGAATATAATGAAAATTTGTCTCTCTCTCTTCTCTCTTTCTAATTATAAAGTATTAAATTTAATTCGAATTTAAAATATATATAATTAAAATTTCAAACATCAAAAATATAATAAACCCGCCTCACCATTTTCTATTTTAAATTTAATTTTTCGAGAACGATGAATGATTTTTAATAACGATGTTTGTGCGTGCTTTTTTATCGTGTCGTAAGTGAAATATCGTATAAGTAAAACTCGGAGAGAGAGAAAAAGAAGGAGCAACGTCTGCATCAGCTTGTCGCGATAAGCGGTGCGGGGAGAAATTTTTTTTACGGAAGCGTTCAAAATGCGACGAGACGCGGTCGTTGTTTTTTTTTTCACAAGAGGCTAAAAAAAAGGTAAAAGAACAGGAAGCAGGAAGCGTCAGACTCCTGCCGGTTGAAGTGCTCCTCGATCGGCGAAAGATTTCTAGACAAGCTTTTCAAGTGCCACACCTAATTTCGTTCTAATTCCGGCACTTGTCACTCGTTTTAATTGCCGCTTAAGTTCGGGAAAGCCAAAGCGGCGGTTTTTTTTTCCAATGAGTGTAAAAAAAAACCTGCCGGAAGAGATAGAAGAGGGTGGATGCATTACTAGTAGCGCTAAATGATCGATTTAGTTTATAATTATCTAGTAATTTAAAAAACTTTACGATGATTATTTAGAAGAAAAAAAAATATATAGTTACTCACGAAAAATTTTATTATTTATTAGAGTTTTGATTAATGTGCATCTTTCAGCAACGAAAAAAAAATAAGATAAAATAATTTGTAAAAACTAGATAACACGACGACAATAGATATAGACGGTTAATTAGATGAGTTGCGAGGCTGAATATTTCAATTTGTTATATTCTTCCGCACAGACTTCTGGGAATACAGGGTAAGAGATCGTTAAGGCGTTAAGAGAAGATCGAGGAGCTATGGCGGCGAAATTACATTTTTTAATTATGGCCGGAGTAAGTTCATAATTGGTGCTCACTACGCGGGGGATGAAACTTATTAGTCGGCAAGGCTTTACCGCTATGGGGAATGTAACATGGCCGCCTTGTGGAAGAATATCGTAGAGGTCGTTCGCCAGGGGCGCACACACAGCTCTTGACTTCAAATATCGCGAATATCTTATCAATCTTATCGTTTATACAAATCGATTTTACAAATTATTCTCTTTCTCGTATGCAAATTTTTTTTTATTTATATTATCCTTAAATTTGTATGTATTTCTAATCTAATTATTCTTTTTTATAATTCATACTTGAAATTAAACCATCCTTAATTAATTTATCTATATATTTAATTATCTTCAATTTATTGTTGCTTATTAAAATAATCAGAAACTTATTAGTCGGCAAGGCTTTACCGCTATGGGGAATGTAACATGGCCGCCTTGTGGAAGAATATCGTAGAGGTCGTTCGCCAGGGGCGCACACACAGCTCTTGACTTCAAATATCGCGAATATCTTATCAATCTTATCGTTTATACAAATCGATTTTACAAATTATTCTCTTTCTCGTATGCAAATTTTTTTTTATTTATATTATCCTTAAATTTGTATGTATTTCTAATCTAATTATTCTTTTTTATAATTCATACTTGAAATTAAACCATCCTTAATTAATTTATCTATATATTTAATTATCTTCAATTTATTGTTGCTTATTAAAATAATCAGAAAAAAAAAGAAATATCGTAAACATTTATTATATATAATTCTGGAATAAAAATATTTATATATAGAAAATAAATATTCTCTCTTTCGCCCTCTTTCTACGTGATAAAATTATTTATACAGATTTTGTAAAGTAATCATATAGAGTTTTTCTACCTGTGTGTCACAATTCTAAAATAACATAAAATATAAAATAACAAAGAGAAATCATTATTGACGATTTTTATCTTTTTCGTTGCTTGGCAGAAAAGGTCGTTTTATTTGCCATGCACTAAACGCCGAGATTATTTGTGCGGATCTAGAATGATTGATAAACCGGAGAAATTCGCGGGACTAGAGAGAGAATAGGAGCGTCCCTGACGCTAATCTCGAGTTAGATGGCAACATTTTCTTGTAGACACCGAATGTACGGATGAGCTCGTACAGCGCTTCGCTGTTACGATGTTCTAAGTGAAGGTATATACCTTTATGTATAGGTGACTATATACATGTGCGCGTATGCGCTCTACAGCAACGTCCAAGAAAAACCGAAGCTTCATGAAGAGTATCAAGTTTCGACTAAAATTATATCCACGTATTTATATTAATTATTAATTAAAAGAATCGACGTATTAAAAAATGTAGTAGATAGTCGTTTATATAAATCATTAATTTTGCTGCAGAAAATAATTCGGTAAGGTTTCCTTTCCGTGATTTGTCCTGTGAATATACATAATGCATACATATTTACGTGTACATATATACTTTTGTAGCGGTGCGCGAACATGTATATACTCCCTACGCTCGTGTGAGTCTCCTATCCGGCGACTGTACGGGGATATCGCTGAGGAAAGATTGGGAATTGGAGAGGGTGGACTTTGGGGTAAGGTGGCAATAAGGCGCTGGGCACCGCGCTGTTACGATCTCTGATCTGGCGAACGCGCGTATGTAGTGCGATCTCACCTACGCCAAACGCGATATGTATATTGAATTGATCGTTGAACTCGCGCGAGCGTAGATACGCCATAATACGTCCTTATCGCGTAATGACGATAGGTAAAGGGGGGAGGGAATCGAAATCTGCAAAGACGATTTTCTAAAAAAAGCTTTTTGCCGAACAGTTACAATAATTTCCGACCTTTTGAAGGCAATAAATAAAATAATTTATTAATAAAAGATAACGGATGATTGGAAGGATGTTGAATTATTATAAAAATAGTCTAATCACACAGTAGAGCGAATCGTCGCAACAGCAGCGTTGGAAAAGTAAGGCGTGTGCTACATATTGTATATAACGTGTATATACGTAGATACGCCATAATACGTCCTTATCGCGTAATGACGATAGGTAAAGGGGGGAGGGAATCGAAATCTGCAAAGACGATTTTCTAAAAAAAGCTTTTTGCCGAACAGTTACAATAATTTCCGACCTTTTGAAGGCAATAAATAAAATAATTTATTAATAAAAGATAACGGATGATTGGAAGGATGTTGAATTATTATAAAAATAGTAGACAGTAGAGCGGAGTAAAGCTTAATTAATAAGAACGAAGAGATTAATTTTGAATCGAATTATTGCACGGCGTTTCAAAAATCGTCGCAACTGCAGCGTTGGAAAAGTAAGGCGTGTGCTACATATTGTATATAACGTGTATATACGTCGAAACATCCAGCGGCCATGATGGCTCTGGTCTCTCTCGCTTATCAGCGCGGAGGGAGAGGAGAGATATCCGGTCGATACTCTTCGGAGTGAAGGGAGGAAATCCGTATAAGCGTGCGCTCTCTTCCCCCGGGCAACACAACGCGAACGGATAAAGAGGGGGTTGATTCACCACTCCTTGTTCGGTGCTCGCAGACGATTGGTCCTGGCAGCGCGGAGGGTCGTGGGCGGTGCGATGCGTCGAAGAATGAAAGAGGATAAGAGAGGATCGCGGACAAGAGACTACGGATCTAAGGATATACCTGGACACGGTAGCATATATACTATTAAAACAAAGGAGAGAGGGTGGCGAGATTAAGAGCAAGCGAGGACTATAAGCGGACAAATCAGATCCTTTCGCTTCGACTCGATATTATTTGGCTCACTGTATTATACATATACTATATACTTGCGCCTTTGCTTATGCTGATAGATTTAGATAGATTGTTTGCGTCGTTCAACGTCATAGCACATCGTTAGACACAAAGGTATAATCGTGAAAGCATTATATCCTGTTTTGTGACGAGCTACTCTATACCGTCAAACGAATTTAATTTAATTATATTAATATATATATTGTATATATATACGTATAATACATACGCTACAACAGGCTATATCGAATAAATACAAGGAGTTGAAGAACTGGCAATTTTACCTTGTAACGCCGTTGCTTTTCCTTCCTCCCCTCTCTTTTTCCGCGAATCGTGAAACACCATCATCAAGCATTCGTATATCGTTTTCCTTATTGTCAGAGAAACTCCTCCAGTCGTCTCTTTCTCGAAGACATCAGCCCTGGAATTATTCGACTAAATTAAAATCTGTATTTGTCTTGAATTATAATCTCATTTTATAAATATTTTAAACAAAATAATTCAGCAAATGTGATTAGATTTTTTTTTTATCATTTATATTAAGTATTAATTGCTTGATAGGCAAATGTGCAGTCGTTATGTGAAATCATTTCTCCAATTTTTCCGCAGATACAATTGGAAAAGAATCTTTTCTTGTTAAACTATAATTAAATCGAGTTTTGTCTTTATAAAAAAAAAAAAAAAAAACTATTAAAAATTAGAAAGCGAGAAAATTATTTCGTCAGATTTTCCGTAAGAATGAAACTCAGCCCAAGAAAATAGAATTGACCGATTCGAAAGTTAATTTTCAGAGAATACGACACCATGGTGCGATGTAATAACCGAATTTATTGTCCTG